TTCTCATTTCTTTATTTCATGCTTAAAATCCTTTAGATGGTCTTTTTTGTCTCCCACATAAAATCCATGCTCTTTAGAAGAACATACATGACCCTTTGCAATCTGTTTTTTCTTGCCTCTACAGGTTTATGTCTTGCTATTTCTTTTTACTTTAGCATATGAAATTATTTGCTTTTTCTGTAATGAGCCATGAACCCTTACATATGCCACTTCCATTGTCTGGGGTATCTTCTCCCTGCCTTCCATTTACTGTCCCTACCTTTGTTTGCATAATGGTATTACTTTTTCTTTTTGGTTTACCTGAGAAGACATCTCTTCTAGAAAGTTTTCCTAGTTTAGCTATCCCTCCTGTGAGTTCCCATTAGCATAGCACTTATCATTGTTTTGGACTTGTCTGTTTATTTTTCTGTTTTTTCCACCAGATAGTGTTCTTCAGGGCAGGCATCTTGTTTTTTCAGCTTTGTATCTCTCACACCTATCATGGTACCTTGTGTAAAAGACTGACGACAAATGCTTGCCTAATAAATAAAGTTAAAAGTGAAGACTTAGAAGTACCTGTAATGTTACTTTTCATCTTGTTTGACTCAATGCAGGGAGAATAATAGCGAAATATTAGAGAAGATAAGAGAAAAGCCTTATGAAAATGAATTGAGCCAGAGAAGCAAATATTAGTTAGCTGTGTGCATTTTCATATATGTAGATAATTTCTACATCAACACTGATAACAAAATGTGCTTTGAATAGCTTTTGTAATCTGAATTTTCCTGTGGCCAATGGTGTGCATTTTTTAATCTGGTCTAACAGTGAAGACATACTTTTTATAAATTCTTATGAATTTCAGGAGATAATATGTTGAGAACTTCTGTTAAGTAGATGAATGGTGTAAAACTTGGTTTTTGAATGCCTTTAAGCCCATTGTAGACATAGGTTTTTATACTAGAAAGTCTTAAAATTAGACCTTTAATAACTTCTCTGGATAAAACTGGGAAGTTGTTTATATGAGGCATGGTTCTGGACTGGCTATTAGTATCTGTGGTCATGTCACATTACTGTGAGAATGACAAAGGCGAAGATGTGAAGAATAGAGTGAGAAGATGACATAGAGATATTTTTAGGTAAGGTGTAAAACTAAATATTGTTGTAGAGGACTACTTATGATTCGATGATTTGCCATTCTCATTTTGTGTTTATATTTTAATCAGTTGATAAACTTTAATTTGACATCCCATAGGACATCCAAATCTGTACACTGTTGTCTTTCTCACATACACACAAATACACATGGGTTTTGTATACAACGAAGAGCAGATAGAGAGGGAGTATGGGTATTACAAACTCATAAGGTTTGCTTCAGGATTGTTTGTGATATCATGTATTATTACTGTGATTAGTGAAAATAGATGCAATATGATTTTTGTATATAATGTTTTTTCTCTTATTTTGCCATAATAAATGCTCCTGTGAGGAATAACTGTACAACATGAATTCTGTTCCATTTCTGGACAAAAAAGTTTGGTGAATGAAAAACTAAATACTTTTCTTTTATTTCTAAAGAGCCAAACTAACATCAGATGCAGAGAAGGAATCAGTAATGATGTTTGGACGGAACCTTCGTCAGCTCCTTTTAACAAGCCCTGTTCCAGGACGCACCTTAATGGGAGTGGATCCTGGTTATAAACATGGTTGCAAATTAGCTATAATTTCTCCTACCAGTAAGTTGTCTTTCAGCTTTTCATGTAAAAGTTGTTTGGTTGGTCATAAGTTTCACTGCATACATTTCATGAGGATTTGGAAATAACGTTAATTTTCAAGGCTTAGAAAATGATTTTCTCACATACAGGAATATTGGGAACCAGAGAATTAAAATTCATATTTCTGTTTGTTGATCAAAACCTTCAACATATGACCATCATTTATATCCTTCCTTGTGTCATAATGGAGATATTGAGGATTAACTAGGCTCAGACTTGAGCTCTATTAACCCTCCATCAACTTCTATTTATTGTGATGCATTTACATATGATGCATTTTAATTCTGTATATATTTTAAATGCCAAAAGACATTTTTATTGTTTTGTCTCATCAATATTTTTTCTTATTTACGCATATACCTTATCCC